AAATGTCAATTAACTGTGATTCATCTCCCTGGTGCTTTGAGAGAGACGCAGAATGTGGCTGTTCACCTACACCTTCCCTTTTTGACTTTCTGTTTGTGTTTAGCTGTTGCTCCAATCCACAGTGACTTCCAGTAGGAATAAGCTGCAAGCTGTGGGATCACTGGGGTTGCAAGCTGGAGAGGATTAAAAAGATAAGAATTATTGTGGTGCACTGACACCAATTTCCTTGATAGCGGGACAAACATTTGTACGTTATGCTTCCAGAAAACAATACAATTAGGCATAAGCAATGATGACACTTGATTTCACAGGGCTGAGTGTTTTCTGTAAGTAACTTACTTTAGCAACCTTTAAAGTTTGTGTTTCAATAAAGCTGAAGAAAAATAAAATATATACATACTTGGACTGTTCATTGAGAGCTTTCCCCAGTTTTAGGCGATAGAAGAGCAGGCTCCTGATCTTTTCAGATTGCTTTTATTTAATAAAAATTCTATTTGATTTTTTAAAAAAAATCCAAACTTCTCTTTCTTGGCTATTAGCTGAGGTCTTTTGAACCTCACCCATCTGCATCTTTAAAGATTTAAAGACTGTTGGAGATGCAGTGGCCTAGAAGTTGGGGTGAGTGTGGCATGGCCCAAAACGCCCTCGGCAGCTGAGAACCTACTTCATGTCCCGATGGGCCTGACATTTGCTGCATGGCACTCCCCTGCTCTCATTCCCCACATTTCCCATCTGCAGTACTTGCATTCAACATGTTAATTACAACTATTCAATAAAGGCAGTTACTGATTGCAATGTCTCTATGCACCAGAACTACTAAAAGCAAATAACAGAAAACAACTCAAGTAGAATTTTGACTTTTTTTCTTCTTTTTTGGGGAGTTAAAGCTTAAAGCTTCACCCAATATCCAAGTATGCAATTACACCTTTTTATTACTTTTTCTTCTTCTTTTTCATTTGGGTTTCTTCCTTTAGGAGTCAAAACATTAGATCATCCGCCTCTGCCTTTATCACCCCAGCTTTCTGCATGTATTCCTTCACTGTTTCCATAAACCTCTGAGGTCTTTCCTTTCTCCTCTTGTCTTTCAGCTGCATATTCAGCATTCTTTGTCCAGTGTATCCGCTGAGACTTGTTAGACACTTCTCTGCACATGTCCAAGCCATCTCGGCCTCGCCTCTCTAACTTTGTCTCCAAGCCGCTCATGCAAACGTGCTCAAACAAACAGACTCACAAATAGCTTAACATCTTCAACTGGGCCACCTCCAGCTCCACCTCCTCTCTTTTTTTTAGTGCCAGTGTTTCCAAACCACATATCATAGCAGGCCTCATTTTGGAAACCTCCCCTTCCTCTCTTTATGCTATCCTTGCTGCTGTCCCACCCCTGACACTAATGTCCACCCACTCCCCCCCTTCCTCTGCCATCCTCTCCTGTGTGCCGTCCGTTTGCTTATGATGGTTGACCACAGGTCTTTAAACTCATCTATCGTCACTACCTCTGCTCCTTGCAGCCTCGCTGTTACCCATCTCCCCTATTCTGTCTTGCTTCTGCTGACTTTCATTCCTCTTCACTCCAGAGCACACCTCCACCTCTCTGCACTCTCAGTACATATCACAGTGTTGTCTGCCTTACTACTTACCATGAACCAGGAAGCTGCTGTGGAACTATTTTTTACCTTTCACTCTCATCTAGTGTTTGATAGTCACGTCTCGGTTTCTTTTGCTATCACTACATTTCCAGAGATACCATAATCATGCTGATAGAACTGATAGAACCAGTATTTAGTGTTTTCTTAACATAATTTACCCACTTTTTTTTAAACTTTTGAGACTGATTTCATGTTTGACAACAACTTTTGTGAGCTTTCATTTTTTTTTCATGCAAGTCTTCTGTAGCTTAGATGATATTTTTCCACACGATGTATTATATTTGCACACATAGCCTATACACTGCAGCAAAGAAGTATCAGCTTGGATGGTTAACCTCAAAACAAGCTGCAACTTTGCTGCAGCTGAGATCTGTATGTACGGTCAGAATGAAAACTTTCTCACCCTCTCACTCGTCTCATCTCAGGGAGCCAGTAGGTTCGGTCTCCATCTGACTCTGAGGAAATGAATCATCTGTGGTGTCATCTCATGCTCTCTGCTCCCTTATTTTACTTTTCAAGGATTTAGTTTTTTCTCCTCGTGTCGCTTTTTGACCATTTTTAAAACTTCCCCTCTCTCCGGTTTTCTTTATTTCCTCCTCCAGTCTACTCCTCCACCTCTCTCAGCTTCAGACATTCCTTTAGTCGCTTTTCCTCGTTTATTCCGTAATATTTATTCCCCTAAATAAATGTTTCTACCATCCTTCTCAAAGCTCCTTTCATATTCTTCCTGACATCGTTTTCTTTCACTGTTTAGCTCTTTTAACCTCAATACACCTCATTTTCCTTCACCATCATCCCCTCTTCCTCTCTTTTCTCCCTGTTTCTGTTTATTATATTTTTCCCCGTGCGTCACAGAAGAGATTTCATTGACCACTATGAATAACCCAAACATTTATGTGGTTCATGGCTTTGGTGAGACCATCTGGTGTGTCTGTGTATTTCTGCATTTCGGTTTCTTTATGAATAGTGGGAGTTGTGTGTTGATGTGTTTAATTAGGTGAGATTAATCCGCGTTTTTGTTTATGAGAAAAGAAAAAAGCAAATGTGAACAAAAATGTCATCGAAAGAGAAGCAAATGGGGAAAACAGATTCAAACTCTGCTGTTTTCGTTGTTGTCGGGTTGTGTAAAAACTTAATTTATTTTATTTGCATGTCTATATGTGTGTGTGTCTGTGTGTGTGAGTGTGTTGGACCCACAGTAGGAATGGATAAATGGTTTGACAGCCCGTTGTCTCCCTTGGGGTAAAAAGTGTGCTTCAGTGACTCAGTCAGTCTTATCTGCACTCACATTACAGTGAGATGCTGTGATTTATGCGCACACTCTGACGTACAACGATCACACATGCACACATCAGTCCTGCGCTGTAAAGCATGCATATGACTTCACACACAAAATCCACTCCCGCACACATGGTTGGACATGCGGATGCGCGCATGCTGTAAATCCAAAACAACCCAAGACCCCCTGCAGCACACAACCTTCACACTTCTTTTGTTAGTGTGACTGCGTTTTACAGCTGATTTTCGGGCTAAATCCCGGCCAGCCCATTCACCTCCGTGGTGCAGAATGTAACATATTGTCCTAATCAATCCCTCACACACTAAGAGGCTTTTTCCAAACACACCCGAGGCTAGCTAGCGGTTATAGCTAGCGGTTAGTGAGTGCTTATCCCCTTTTTCTTGTGGTGAGAGTAAGAGGCCGGCTCCCCACAAGAATTTTATCTTTACAGGCACAGAAGCTGGCTGAGAGGGCAGAGACTAAGGGGAGGTAGACAAGAAAGGCCTTGGTAGGATTTGATCCCAGGTCAGCAGGGGATCTGGAGCTTGAATGAGTGAAAGCAGCAGGTCAAGTAAAAAAAAGAAAGAGAAAAGCTTCATTAAGTTACTCCAAATGAGTGTTTGATGGCTCACTGTGAAAAACAACATTTTGACTGCAAAGCATGAACATTTGGACACGCTTAAAATGTCACTCCCAGTCTCATATGATTGTTTATGGATGTTGCCAAACACTTTGAGCTGCTGGATTTGGCCCAGATTGTATTAAGAAAGGATTACAAGTTCTCTGATTCTTTGTCTTTTCATTTTTCTTTCTTATTCTGGTTGAGCCATTTTCTGTCTTTCTCCCTCTGTTGGCTACAAGAATTACAAGTTCATTAAAGTCCTTCAATTTTAAGAAATTTATACAGCAAGTGAATATTTTCTCACTAGGGGGAAAACAACACAACAAAGAGCCTACATGCAGTTTAAAGCAATGTTCTGAGGAGCACTTTTTTAAACCTGCTGTTTTGCAGAATGTGTCTAGCTCAGGGTTTCCTGCACTTCTGTTGCAAGCCTGAAATGCATTTTCTGCAACATCAGTTCTGTTTGGCAGATCAATCTGAAATTCAGTTGACGTCCGGCTCTCCTGTGGAGAGTATTTGAACAAAGAAACCTGATACATGGGTAGGAACACCAATTCTTGTTGGCAAGAAAATAGCGTATCACAGCAGCACAGTGACATTTTGTTACAAATTGATAAAAAGGGATAAAGTATAGGTTTGAAAGGAGGTCTGGCAGCTGCATAGAGCTGAGTCAGTCAATTACAGAATGACGGATGAATGTTAAAAAACTAATTCCTCTTGTCCAGTTTAAACTCTGTGTTCTGACACAGCCTGCGGGTCAACAGGTGGCACACAGTGTTGAGGTATTGCTTGGCTGTTAGCATATGTGTTTGATCTCTGTTTAAGTTTGATCGGAGAGGGCGGCTCTCCCGGCTTGTTTTCATTAAACCTGTGCTGGCCTTGTTGACCTTCTCTGCTCCCTCAACACTTTTCACTTCAGCTTGAAAGGAAAAGTTACAGGTACCTTCCTTTGAATTGCAAACAGATGAAAGTCAAAGTAACCAACCGTGTTCCTAGAGGCTCGCCCACTAGCGATGTCTCCTGGTAGACAAGCTTTACTGTAATGAGGAGGACCCAGGTGAAGGAAGCCTCTGCCTGAGGCTTTTTTACCAAAGACTAATGATTTTGAATTTTTCTTTCTTTCTCTTTAAGGAGCTTGTCTCTTTTCTCTCATGGTCTCCTGTTCGTTTAATCCTCTTTCTCGCTCTGTTTTGAGTATAGTTCTCTAAATTATCTATAATGAATGAAGGAGGTTGATCCTTCACAATCATGGCAAACAAAACGTGGGAGGGGAAAATATCAGTCACAGCAAGTGCATTTAATTAAAAGCCAACTGAAAATGCTTTCCTCTCAGATTCTTACCTCTTTTAGTCCCTGTTTGTTCAACTTCCTCTTTTAAATTTATTACAAAGAAATATGATGATATGAATGATTGCATAATCTCTCTTCTCCTTTCTCTTTCTTCTGCTTTCAGAAATTGGGGCTCCAAAAGTGCAAGTTGCGGAGGAGCTGGAGGCGTATCCCACTGAGTCTGTTGAGCTCAGCTGCCAATTTAACGATGGAGGCGGTCTGACCAAGCTCACACAGGTTAGCAGATGAAAGACAACATTGTTAATAATTCCAGAAGTGCTGAGATTCAGAGCTTAAAAGTAAGGCGTGCACTGTAGCCTAATGGACACGCTTATTTAGGGGTCAAATGGCCAGTCTCTCCTCCATGATCTGTTCATTCGACCGGTAACATAAAGACATGCCAATAAGGAAACTCATGGTAAAAGTTTCCAAGAAACTAAACAGTTTAAAAATAAATAGATACAAAAAGTTATCTAGACTGTCTCCGGTAGGAAGACTCCGGTGGCAAAACAAGTGAGACGATAAAAGGAGGAAATAGTTTCTAAGAGAACATAAGTAAGGGTAATTTCCGCATGGCATCTGATGTCAAATTGTTATTCTAAACAACCTTTTAAAGAGGAAGGGGCTTCTTGAGCTTAAGGCTGTCTAGCAGTGGTCTCAGAGGATGAGAGGCAATATCTAAACCACATCTCAGGAGAGGAAACAAGGCCAAAGCCATAACAGCATTTCAAAGAGGATGATGAGAAAGAAAAACATTTGTACTGACATATCCAAGTCTTAGATTTATGGCGAAAAGAGAGGGTTGTGAGGAGGCGAAGAGGAAAAAAGAGCGATAGTGCAGTGTGAGTGCAACAAGGTGGTGGGAAGGGTTGAAACGACATTATACAGGTGGATCTGGGTTGGGGATCCCACTACTGCTACCTTGCGACTGAAAACCAGTGCCTTACTGTGTACAACTCTGCCACGGTATCATTTTGGTATCATTTAGAGAATCAGTGGCGGTAAGGGAACTGAACATTTTTGTGATGTTGACAGCTTGACATGAAACGAGATGTGAAAAGCTGGAAATGCCCTAACACACAAAATGTCCCTAAACGCGACACGCTGTGATTTAAAAGTTAGGTTTCATGTTGATTAATGATATCCGTGCTGTCAAGCAGCTGGATCGCTTGGATGCAGAGACCAAGCTCCCACCTGGTGTTACTGGTGATTTGCTGTGAAGTGCTGTGATCGGGCACTTGCTCCGGATACAAAGCGCTCTTACCGAGTAGAAGTTGCACTTCTCGATACTCCATCCTCACATCTTGGAAATGGATTCACACTGCAGCAGAATAATGACCCAAACACACATCAAAGGTTCGCAAGCACTTAAGACCAAAGACCAAGGAGTCCTCAGCTCCACTGAATCTTTTTAATCTCATTTGAAGACTGAGAGAGCCAAACATTCCTGACACCATGAGAACCATTCGAACGAACGTCAGATCATGCTGAGATAATGTGGGTTATCAGATTTTGCATAAAACTGTGGAGCCGATGCGGCTCGAGAACTGCTGTCAAAAGGGGGGCAAAGCAAATACAGATATAATCTAAAATTTATGTAAATTTTGTAGAGATTCACTCAAAGCTGGTTTTATCATTTGGCATGAATATTCTTGAGATAAATTGGGAACTAATGCAAAATAGAAGAATGTTTTGGATCCCACTGTACATCCTAAGATGTCTTATTATTTATTGCTGCGTGCATGTTGTAAAGCATGAATAAATTGATAAGGCTTCCATCCATCTCCATATGATTTTATGCTTGGCAGACATGGAGAAATAAAAACAAGTGCAGGAATGAAGATGTACAGTGAGCCTGCTACTTATACATCCACTAAAGCTGCTGTTGTTCTGTTGTGGTACTTGCAAACAAGCTGTAATCAGTATTGTAACAAAGCCCTGCACAAACCGCTGAAAGCTAAACATGTGAAACATCATCTTGTTTTAGCTGCTTGAAGCTTTGTTGACACAGAATCAGAATATATAATATAAAAGTCCGCAGTAGTCGAATATGTACATTTTCAGCAGCCTGAGTAATGGTTTGCTAATTGAACAAATAAAAATCATCAACGCGACAGAGAGGAGGGGATCAAAGCTTTGTCAAGTTTTCCAGCTGCAGAGATGAAGAAACCATTCTTGTGCTATGAGGTTTATATTCCTCATGGACCACAATAATGGACCTCAGCCTCCTGCCAGAGGGGAGTGACTCCAAAAGTTTATATGTGGGATGCGAGGGGTCAGCAACAATCTTTCATGCTCGACTCGGTGTCCTGCAGGCATACAGGTCTTGTAGAGAAGGCAGATTGCAGCCAATCACCTTCTCACCAAAACTGATGACACGCTGCAGTCAGCCTTTGTCCTTGGCAGTGGCAGCAGCGTACCAGATGGTGATGGAGGAGCAGAAGTACACCATCAATGAACTCAGCTGGTTGAGTTTCTGCTGCAGGAAGTACTTCCTCTGCTGTGCTTTCTTGATGAGGGAGCTGATGTTTGGCTCCCGCATGAAGGCCTGTGAGATTATGGTTGCCAGAAAGGGGAAAGACCTCACAGCGTCCATGCACTATAGGCAGTCAATTCAGACCTCATCGATGGCTGATTGGCCCATTTATTAAAGGCATAATGCTTTCTAGATGTCATCCCCGCCTCTTTTTCTCCCCATCACCTTGTCTGACACACTATCCCTCCAACAAAGGCACAAAATTCCCCAAAAATGAACCTTACAAAAATGTTTGGCATAGCATTGCAGAGCACAGACTGGGATTTTCTGTACTTGAAATAAGAAAACGGTGCACATTTTTAGAAACTCTCTTGTTAAAGACACTCACTGCGTTGCTCTTATTTGTAAACACAAAAATAGTTGTTGTTGTGTCGAGAATGAAAGGTTGGAGCTTAAGAGAGAAATTCAAATGTTACCTACTTCCTGATCTGACGCACACAGACACAAACAGGTTTTTTTTTTTTAAATCTATATTCTTTTCGTTGTTTCTATTACTGGTTCTACTTTACTGTTTGTTTTGTGCCGTTAGTTTAAACCAAACTGGGGACAAGGTCTGCAAATGAGCTGTGTGGGTTAGATTTCACTTAAATGTAACAACATTTATAGACACTGTTACTGATAAAAACAAATGCATACATAGATGCACACATAAAGCCAAACTCTGTGTGGAGTTGGTCTGCTGATTAGGCTTTTAGAGGTTTTATTATTGGATGCAGTTGGCAACAAAGAGCACCGTTACGTTCAGCCTTTCAAAAATGAAATGATCCTCATGTAGAAACAATTAATTCACCACATATGTAAGTTTTTTTCCAATTAGAATTCACATTTAAACTAGAAATGTACATTTTAAAATGATATTTTGGCAGTTTGCATCCATCTCAGAAAGATGGAAGCAGCTATTCAAGTTCCAACAAACACTAAGCCGTCATATGTTCATCGCCAGTTTGCCACTCCACAGAAAACAGGCAAGGTTACTGATATACATGTGAGCTGAAAAAGATTCAACATGTTAAAACTGATACTTTGGAGCTGATGGAAAGTTAACAGTGTCTGTTTTCCCTGCTAGCAGTCTATCTTTGAACACATCCTCGACCACTGTGTCTACTCAGCATGAGATTGTAAATAAATTACCAGCAATCTCAGCCCGAACAATGCTGTCTCTTTCTATTATGCAGTTACTTCCCTGCAACAAACTCCTGCAGTTTGTCAGCAGCAATCAGAAGCGTGATGTGGGGCTTTAACTAATCAGCGATAAGTAACTTACGATTACTGGGCGGTGTTAGCTCTTTGCTTTTTTTCTGTCGTAATTTTAGCTCGTTTAATTCCAACTTGGTCTACAGAAGAGAACTGCTCGAGGACACACGGCGTAAAATTAGCTCAGCTGACTATTTGGATGTCAATTTATCTCATCAAGTCCCAGTTGAGCTCGTATCTGACGCCACCTGAACGGTTCAGATGTCATTTTCAATGCCGAGCAGAATAAGCAAAATGCTACGAGCTGTTTACGAGTTCAATTTGATTCTGTGTGATCTGTCTGAGTTGTGTATGAAATCAATAGGTAATTTGTTCACAAGTAAAATCTAAAAATGCAGACGGGCTAAATTGCCCTCTGTGATATTTTCTCTTCAATCAGCAGAGAATCATCCTCTAATTTGCAATGACATCTGGGTTACAATCCATCATCCTTTTCACAACCTTCAACCTCCTCTGCTTGCTCTCTTCCTTCCATCCTACATGTCATACATTTAATAGATGTTTGCTAAATGTGTATTGATGAACTTTATTCCCTCTGCTCCCTGGTGTACCACTTTAGCGAGCAGTTTGTTATTGGCTGTCACTTTGAAAATTGCAGAGAAAAATAAAATCAATTTGGTTTACCATCACAGCGTTCTCCCTCGTGGAAGTGTCTCTCACAGGCCAGATATCGATATCTTTCGCATATTAGAAATCTCTAAGATGATCCTTTTTTTAAAAAAATTGTGTTTGTTAAAAAAAAGCAGCGGGGTCTTTGAGCGAGCGCCTGCAAGTCTAACAGACATTTAATTTAATCTTGCAGCAGATTCTCGGCTTCTCACTCAGACAACTTTAATTGTACTCAACGTTTTGCTGCTATAAGCCAAATGATTTCATGTTACAGGGACAGCAGTTTGCAATATGTATTCAGAGAAATGTCAAAAATGTTGGCATCCATAAATATTCATGCATGCCTTCTGGTTTACAAACAAACTGTCAGTGTATTAAGGGAAGACGCCGAACAATAGGAAGTTGGTAATTGTTGTCTGAACTGCTGATTTTTTTCACTACTTACCGACATGGTCAACAGTTGGACCTGTGGCTGCAAACACAGCTCAGTGAGGCTGTTTTAAAACTCTTAAAACCCAAAATGCTACAGTTTATAATAGACTTTTGTTAGTCTGCCAAAGACCCGATGAACATAATTTTAGATTCGGTGTGAATCTAATTAAGTGCAATAAATTCTATTAAAATAACACAAAAGACGATTCTTTAAAAATGATTACTGGTATCCCAGCTTCAAAGTAATCAGTTACTGTAGGAACAAAAGGAACTTCTAGTATTCAATTTGGCTAACTATAATGGGGACAATTTACTGCACATGTTGAACACTACGGCATACGTTAATCCGTGGCAACATTATTAATCTCCTGGTTACAGCCCTCCAGTGTCAGTATTTAAAGACCTCCTCATTAGATGATTGAAAAAGCTGCTGACTGCTTAAGAACCTTGTTAGGATGATGTGAGTCAAAAGTTAGTCTGCTGCACGAATTTATCTTCTTTAATGAGCTATAGTTGTGTACCATAAAAATAAAAGCAATGAAAAGAATAATCGGGCAAACTGTAACCGCTGCCGTTTATAAATTCTTGATTCTTATCAGGTGTCTTGGATATGGGAACCTTCTGACGGGCACAGGGACAACATTGCTGTGTACCACCCGGTGTATGGACAGAGTTTCCCTAATGTGGCCTTCAAGGACCGGGTTGTGTTCCTTCACAACAGTCTGGAGAACCCATCCATCAGGATTTCTAACCTGAGAATGTCCGATGCCGGTCGCTATACCTGCGAGTACGCCACCTATCCTACTGGAAATGAACAAGGGACAACCACCCTCATCATGCTTTGTAAGTGTCCACACAAGATTGCATAAAATCGTTTTCTCCCTCTGATAAAAGCTGCAGGCATTTATATGTTTCAGACACAGCTAAATACGAAGGGTTAAACCGCATTAAGGTCAGCACTATTTACACTTCTCTGCAAAGGAGAGCTGCGCATAAAACAAGCTTTCAAAAGATGTTCTGCTACATCAGCCTTGACAAGTGCCTTCCCAGCCATCTGCTTATCACAGCTTTCTGAAAAAAACAAGTTCCCACTGGATCCAGAGTCTAAGAAGAAGCAGTTTAAAGCAGCTGACGAGTATTCTCAGGGGTAGATGCTGGTTACACATGGACTGAAAAACAAGAGTGACCGCCAAAAAAGATTCTGTGGCTCTACAGATAATGGCCTTTATGTGTACAAACACTGTTAATTTCTGAGAAGTGGTTGATGCGAGTTGATCAGTACGAAGTCTGCAAGATCCAATAAATGAGTTGTTTATTCTAAGGCTCAGTTTGAGACTTGAGTATGTGCAGTACTTTTCATGTTGTGCTTGTATTTATTTAAACAAAGTTTTGTAGTAAGTTTGAAGCATTGCTGATATGTTGTTATTTTGTTACGTAAATTGAGAAAACAAGTAGTTGATTTTTATAATCATACTTCTGATGATCTGGACTTTTTTCAGGAAATGGACAAGATTACTTTGATTTTTGATTGTTAATGCCAAGTTCATTACTTAAAACATGTGTAATGTTATTATTACATGATTGTTAAGCTGTAATTAGCCAGTTTCAGTCTCTTCTTGTGTAAACTTTCTAATATGGAGGCATATGTGCCAAAGCTGTGCGCGATATGGGACTGTGGCGGGGTTGATATGCTCTGCCAAGATCACTGTTCCTACCTCGGGGCATTTAGAGACATATGCTGAGAGTATAGTTCTTTTTTAATTTCTCGTTGAAAATCACAGTTTAGTTAATAATAAGTCAGTTTTTTGTTCACTTTTATACTGAATTTTTTCTTGTACATATGCTATATTTTTAAGTAGTTTAACAATGATACAGCTTTATGTAATTTTGCCTCTGTGTCTACACCGTCACACTGGCTATTAAATCAAATAATGAAAATGACATTGCACACTTTCAGCTTTAATTCAAGGCATTCAACTATTGTATAGGGATTAAAGCAATTTTTATATATTTTTCCCTGATACTCAGGTATTCAGAGTAACTGATAAGCAGGTTCATGGCCAGGTAGGAACTGAACAGAGAAAAGATCTGGAGTTTATTTCAAGCTTTGAACTTGTATTTGGTATTTTTTCACTGGAATCTACAACATTAGGTCTTAAGAGATGTCAGTGTAAGCTGCAAAACCTCGATCAGAGAGATAGCAAAAACCGCATGCTTTCAAACTGATGGTAAAGCACTAAAAGGTTTCTGTTGAAAATATTATTATCTTTTGAATCACCTTAGTTTATCCAATTACTTTTGAGTCTCTGAAAATGGCAGCCTTTGTATAAAAAATGTATTTAATTTCACTACTCTTAGCACTTCATGCTATTCTCCTTATCAGCGCCTCAAATTGAAGCAGAAAGTCTGCATGTCCCTTGTGAAACATCTTAACTGGTTTAGAATCCAGTCCAACTGATTTAGAACTTTGCTTGTGAGCAAGAAAAATTACAAAGTGTTACAGAGTGTATGCAAAAGGAACTTTGTGATGGTGACGCAGATGCTGAGAGCAGATACAGCAGAGAAATCCTGCAAAGGGTCTGCTCTGTACAGCTGTTTGTGTTTGTTATGGGGCTGTGTGTGGACATGAGATGTTCAGCTGTTGCTTTTGTTGGCTTGCTTACTCAACTTTGTCTGGACGATTAGTATTTCAGCATGAAACAAGTTCAAAAGATGCTCTGCCCTGATAACTTATCAACAGACTCTGATTCTGTGCATAAACACAACATCAGCATCCTCTGCTATCAAACTCTTAACACCATTGAAAATGCAAAAAGCAGTTTGATTGTTCTATGTTGTGTTTGGCAAAATAATACATTTAGTTATTTATTGAGTCCTTATTGTGATTATTCGAAGACAATGATTAACATAATATCAGCAACCTTGTATTTCAGAAATCAGACTGTTATTTACTTATGTAAGTAAAAGTGGCTGATAGGGCTGCATAAAAATCACTGTCTTTGACTTTAATTATAACTTGTACATGTTACATTCAGATCACGTTGAGCCTCTACAGTGCACTGAATGAAGATAGATAAAGATGTCAGCGCTGCATCCCACTTCGTGTTTGGATCAGATGAATGGAAAAGGAAAATTAAAAAAACAAAACAAAAAACTGTCTTTGGTTAGCATGAGATTTTACAGGGAAATGGAGATTCGGATTCAGAGGACAGACTTAGATCAGTGGTACGAGCTGCAGCAGCGATGATGACACATGCCTCATTGACATAGTTAAGGTACTAACCCTATTGTCACGGTGCATGTTAAAACATGGCCCTTGTTCTGACAGTCAAATATGGCCTATGCATATGCATGTGTGATTACCATAGTTTTTAGATCAGCGTGACTTTAACTCTCTTCACAGCACTTCATAACGTCAGTGTCCACTGCAGCTCAACGTTTAATCAGCCTTGAAATCAGAAGAATTTGTGTAAATCCACAGCTTCTGTGAGAATCATCACATTCTTTAGTTTTCCTCATATCAAAGTAAGTTAGTTATATTTGTCATTCATGGGTGGACAAAAAGCAGAAGCAGAAAACCGCTAATAAAACACACCTTTAATCGTGTTATTTTGCCAAGATATCCCCCAAAAAAGGTTTGCTTTGCACCACCTGCGCAACCACTTAGAGCCAAGAATGTGAAACCTGAAGGAATGCTCGCGTTACCTCAGCGTCTTGATTTCTGAAAGTGAGTGGAAGTTTAGTTGCTTCTAACAGGGGACACATCCTGTTTGTAATCGTAGACAGCTGGTGTTATTCATCCACCCACATGTCCTCCCATTTGCACTCCGCTTACAAAGGAATCAGATGCTGCTGTCTTTCTCTTTCAGTTAAGGGCACTGAGGAGGCTTCATGCCTGAATGTGAATAACAACAGTTCCCTTGATTGTTTTGTAGTGCCATAAAAATATGGCCTACATCAGTGCTTGTGCAATAAAGATCTCATACATTTAGCACTGCTGTCATAATGGGAGCAGGAAAAGGGAATGAGCTAAGATGACAGACTTTGAACTGAAACATTACATTTACTAATTAAAACGTCTGTCTGGTAAATTTGCCCGTCACTCGTTGATCCTTTTAAGCTACAGCATATCTTGAGTGCTTTTCTTTTGCGCAAAGTGTGCGTTTTAGTTGTGCTTAGCAGTCCCGTTTCAAAGAGTTTCTTGAAACTGGACTGGAGTGGCGACACAGTGTAGGCTTCAAATGCTGGCCCCTGATCTGCAACATTAAAACAGCACACAGACTTTATGCAAGGTGCTGTAAAAGGCGACTGTACAATAAACTGCATTACACTACCTCATTATAGAAGCAGCAGCTATAATGGTTCATGGTTTTACACTGCCTTTCATGTGTTTATGCATTTTACTCAGTTGTTTTATGAGAAAACCTTTGCAAAACAATACAAAATCCGTCCTGGAACCTTCCCTCACAGAAAACAGAGGAGATACAGAACTTGGCTGTCTTGCAGAGAAAACATGGAAAGATATTCTGGCTTACTTGCAGATGGATGTGGGCTAATCCTCCTAAACTACTGCTTCTGCTGGCGCAAAGCAGAGCTAGACTGGGAAATACCTGCTGGAAAGCTCACTGACTCGCCTTTTGTCTGGAGCTGTGGCGTGCCAGGCTCTCTGGGACAGAGTCCATGTAAAATGCACTTGGAAAACAAAGTGCCTCAAAGTCCCTGGAAAACTGTCATATTTTACCTTATGGGATATATAGAATCCATATGAGCCAATCAGATTAGATCTTATTGAATCCGCAGCTACTGCCAGCCAATCATATTACATTTTATTTGATATAGAACCACCAGCAGTCCAATTATATCACAACTTATTTAAGTGTGAATACATAATCCTGACAGCCAATTGTATTATAACTTATTGGATGCAGTGGCATAGCCAGCCAATCTTATTACCACTTATTGTGGTGTGAATAAAGAATCACTCAATTGGCAGTGAATTATATCATATTGTCCTGGATGGGGACCATATGAAATGGATGGTAGACAGTTATACTGCATCTTATCAGATGTAGTATAGCCAGTAGGACAGAAATACAATTGCAGGTGAGACGCAAATGTAGTAGTCTGTGAAACTTTGAGGAGGGAGTTTCGGTCCAAAGGTTAAAACAATGGACCAGAGACTGGAGGGCCACTGGCCTGAACCCATGAGCAATGGAGTGAAATTGGCAGAAGTTACAGATTTTCAACAGCCAGCAATGATTAAGCGGTGACCTGAATGAATGGATCTAGCTAAGTTTTTCTTAACTTAGTATCTGAAGACTAGAAATCTCTAGAAAATGTCAACATAACATGTACACCACACTGCACGAATGCAATAAATAAGCAGTAAAATTGGAGTGATTTGAGTTGACTTTAGTTGCAAGAGTCGTAAATCCAATGATAATATATGATGTAACCACCCATGCCTTTTAAGGTTTATTTGTAGTAACAGTTTACTTTCTGTTTATTTTAAGCACTTGGCAGGTACTCTGTTCCAAAACATCTTGGAGAACTTGCCCCAGTGCTTCTGTGAGTTTAGGCTCACTTAATTGCTTCTGTTATTTCATGTAATCCCAGATTGACTGGATGGATGATGTGGAGATCAGATTTCTGTGGGGGCCATACCATCTGTTGAAAAACTCCTTGTTCCATGGTGCTGGTGCATACTGTATTTTAGTGCTGTGTGTATTGAAATGTGGTACTGCTAAGTTACTACTAGGTGATCTTGGGTATATCATTTATTTTTGTATTTTCAGTGTTAAATAAATGCAAAGTCTTTAAGTTGTGAGCTGCAAAATGAGGGC